ATTTTGTTCGGCCACAAAGAGATAAAAAAATTAATTTAGAATATTTTTTGAATCCTTTTTCACGATATAGCTACCACAAGAGCACATTAGATGTGTGAAAAGTGGAAAATGTTTTTTATAACATATCTTCATCAATAACCTTTTCTTTACACAATTTTAATTGAGATGCAATTCTAAATATTGTTGAATTATATTCACTAATAGTTTTAAAATATTATAAGCATAAATACATCCAATCATAGTAAGCTTTTATAAAATAGCTATTTTTTTGTGATCATATTTGTCTTTTAAATTATTCCAAAATATAAGTGAGTCTTTTATAGTTAAATATTCATTTTCAATCCTTTATGAAGGTGGTGACTAAAAAAGGATCATAACTTTAATCTTATCTTAATTAGATGCTTTATTTCTTTCATTGATAGTATTTTGAAAACCTTTTGTATCTAAATGAATTTGAGCATTTAATACCTATGATAAATAATTTTTTCATGTCATGTCAAGTGCAAGGAATTTGAGGTTCGTAAGATTTGATATATTTAGTACTATCATAAAAATAAAAATAAGTTAGATATCATCAAAAGTAAAAAATTATATATGCAAAAAGAAAATTAAACATTCAATTGATAAATAAAATAATAAATTTTTTTCTTTTAATCAGCAGTTAAGAAGGTAAAATATTATATTATTTATATAAATAATAATTCAATGTTGCGAATCTTAAACTACTAGTAAATTTTCTTGTGGATGAAAATTTATAAATACAATTATTTAAATTAAAATAAATAAATAATAATATAATTTCGTAAGAAAAATAAAAATAAAAGAATATCGTACTTTGTTCGAGAATGTTTCTTTTTTGCAAAAGTATGTATCAAGTGAGAAAATAGAGAGAATAATACTAAAGAGAAAGAGAGAATCTCAATTTCATTTCATATATTCTTAATACAAATAAGATACTTATTTATAGGCCAAAATCTACAACTGAAGAATCTCATCTCTTTAAATGTAAATTAAATAAAATGGTTACAATTTCTTAAAATATAAAGAATATGAGGAGTTATGAATATGAACATTCACTCACAATAATTTATAACAATAGTTTGATTTAAGTTTGAAAAGGATTGATTTTAAATTTTTTTTTTAAATTATTAAATAATTTAAAATATAAGTTTAAATTAATATAAATTAAAAAATATACATTAAAACGTATGGACATGAAGAAGAATTGATTGTGAAGATAGAACATATAAGTTCTGCTAGTTAGTACTTACGTGTTCATACATAATATATAATCAATTTGAATTGGTTAACATCATCAATCATAATTTTTTTTAAAGTGTTTATGGTGAAAATTGCAAGTAGTGAACAAATAAATTCAAGAGCAATTTGAGATTAAATTTTAGGTGCTCGTTAAGTTCTTTTAGGTGTGTTGTTATTGTAATGACCAAGTTGATGTTGTAAAACAGAGTATTAAGCAACAATAATAAATAATAGTAAATGATAATAATGTAGAACTGAATTGAATATAAGAGTCTTACAGAAAAGTAAACGAGAGTAAAATTGCAAGAACAAAATGCAAATGAAATGGAACTAAACATACTAAAATCAAATTACAGAAGTGCAAATTGCAGAAAGTAAATGACTAAATGTAACTTACGACTCTTCACAATGAACAACGGGAACTGCCTTTTGTGTGTGCTTCTTCTCAACCGCTGTCACCCATTATCCATAACCGCTCATAATCGTGCCTTCTCCATAAATGCATATTGTCTACAATTGTTTCTTTGTGCCCACGATCTCTGACTTTCAACTGGTGTTAACAGGTTGATAACTGTTTCTTTGGTAGTGACTTTAGATCTTATGGTTTTTCGTCATGTTTCCTCACCACTTAAACTCTATCTTACATCTAGGACTTAGAATAAATTTCTTGTCATCTTCTGTTTTAACAAGTTTTGAGGAAACCTATAGAAGATTCTCGTGGACTTAGAACAACTTCTCTTTATCAATTCCTTTTTTGACAAGTTTTAGGAAAAATCAACGAGCTCCATCTTCGACTTATAGTTTCCTTGGCAATTCCTTTTTGATAAGTTTTTAGGAAAACTTATCGAAGGTTGTCATGGACTTAGAAAATTTTCCTTGTTGATCCCTATTTTGACAAGTTTTGAGAAAAATCTGTAAGCTCATATAGTCTTGTAGACTTAAAATAATTTTTCTGGTCGATTCCTATTTCTACAGGTTTTGGCTCCTTTCAATTTGGGGACTTGAAAATCTTCAAAACTCTTCGAAAAATAATCCTTTTTTCAATAGAAATTAAGTTCCTCTTTAGACCTTCTAAAATTTCTCGAAATTAAGCCTTCTTTTTTACAAAGAATAAAGCTTTTCTTTACCCTCCAAAACTTCTCGAAAGGTATCTTTCCTTCCAACCATAGATGAGGCTTTTAGGACTCTCCAAGACTCCTCAAAATGTAGCCTCCTTTTCGACAAAAAAATAAGGCTTTTTTGCTAGTTTTCACAAAAATGTTTCAAAAAGTGATTTTTCCAACAAGATTTTAGGACTTAAATATTTTTATAGATCCATGACTCATCAAAGTGTAGGAACCTAGGGTTTTGTGTTTTTATTTGAAAGACATAGTCTATTCTCTACTCCAAAAGTTTAATGAGAACCTCTGTAACTTAGAAAAATTTACTTTTCCTAAACATAAAGATCATTATAGCCTAATATAACTGCATTTATTAGAGTCCAACTTGAGACTATAATTTCATGTTAGTTGTTCCATGTACTCGATAGTAAATAGCGCAATTTAATAATATTTTTATTTTCCATCTCAAAAACGATTTCTAGTTAATTATATGGTAAACACAATTTAAAAAAATGTCAACATAAACTCTAATACATGCTGATTGATGCATTGCTTAAATATGTGTAGGGGTAACAGTCCCAAGCTTGAGTTATATTCAGCTTGAGCTAATTTATTATCGATAAAACTTTACTATAAGGAGCCCGCATACAATAATAGACTGATAAAACCTCATTGTTCCATCTTGGTTGTTGAGCATGTAACTGAAATGCACAGAAGAAGAAAATGTAGTAGCTTCTCCCAGTGACAGTATACTTTCCCTATATTTCTTTGAACACGTGGTTAGAAACCAGTAAAGGATTTACAGATGATTCCTCTATTTTAGTAAACAAACTGTTGTTGGGTACAACTCAGCCTCTACCTAACATATCAAACATACGAATCCCAGAAAGTGATTTACACAGTTAATTCCAAAGTGTGTCAATATTATAATGAATATAATTGACCCAAGGCCAATGATTTGGTAAGGCTAGTAATATAAACTATCAAATTATTAACAATTTCAGGGCTTTAGACTTAGTCTGGTCCCCCATTTCCATGACTGATAGAATCTCACCTCTTAAGACTATTTTCCAAAAAACAACTAAATAGAAAACCAATCCAAAGCTTACTAACTGCTTGGCATTTTTGAAAAAAAAATACAGAAATAATTTGTGGGGCCTTAATGCATAAATAAACCAATAGTTTGGCAAGGGGGCCAATCTTACCTTTAAAGTTTGGTCTGCATTAGAACTTGGAATCTGATGGATTGGAGCTCGTCATTAACAGGTAACCACAGCTATATTATAGAAAAGGGGGACCTAACAACTCTAATTACCCAAAGAATAAAAAATAGAAAAGCCCATCCACCCGGCATCATGTACCTTTTCTAACAAAAATATTAACTGTAGTTCTGAGGCCAGAGGATAAGCAACTAAGTCATAAATTTTTATAAAAGAATAAATTATTTATTATCTTAAGAATATAATACAGTAATAAATATTATTTTTCAATAAAAATTTACTATTTATAGGTGTTTAAATTCAACCCTATTATGCTTTTTCCTTCCACCAAAAAACTTGCAAATCTATCAATATCTTTTGTTTTTGTCTTTGCTTTTACCATCTATCTACGTGTTTACTCTTCAAGCATCTTTTCTTTACTCTTGTTTTGCATTCGGCTTAGTCCTATATTTTTTTGGGCGCAAAAGGAGTTTGATTGGTTGCTACTTGCTAGACCAAGAGCTTGATGACCTGTAATTCACTTTTATTGAATCGGTTCTCTAGTTGCCAGATTCCTTCCAATTCTACTTTAGAGAACTAAAACGGAGGCACAACGCATAGGCAAATATTACGAAATAAAAATATGAAATTCCATCTCAGATGGAAGCTGAACTTTCTCGTAGTGGGGGATACACTTTCCTGAAAATGCAAACTCGTAATGCCTTATTTTTCTTTCACCATAAAACTAGCATAGCATGTAATGAAGAGGAGAGAATTAACATAAGTTTCTTATAACTAAGATACGTTTAATTCGAATTCTTAATCAAAGAAGCCTAACAAATTTTACAATCACGGAGGACAAAGATCGTTCACCCACATAATCACTCCCTCTATAATTTGCCTTTTTTTATTTGTTTGTCATTTTATTATTTCAGTCCAACCTTCAATTTAGAAATAAAAGTTTCCTCGGTCCAACAAATCACATATCCCCGTAACATTCAAAGTTTAAACGCAACAACACTTTATTTCGGCATGGAAAACAATGCATTTTTAAAGCTTAGCTCCAGCGCGGCAAAGCATTGCAAAAGATAACGGGGAAATTTATAAAATCTATCAATCTACCAATCCCAATTTTACACCTTGGTAACGCAAAATCTTTTGGGTAATAAATGTGGGGAATTAAAAAATGAAAATCGTATACGAATACGAGGGATTGGGCATAGAGCGAAATTCCAATTATCGAAAACGAGAGCATTAATGATTCGCTGATACCCATCACCAATACACGGACACTGCCTCTGTCGTTTCCTCGCCCACTCTCAGATTCAATATTTGATAGCACACAGCTTCACGGAAAGGTGAAGGCAAAAGCAAGAAAAGGGTAACAAATGTATATAAAAAAAAAGACATTTTTTCCCCTTTTTCTTTACTGAAACGTTGAAATCAAATAACTAACAAAAGCATTATTAGTGTTCAAGAAACAGTGTATTCTCACAAGAGGAACCCGAAAATGGATTACCAGAAAAGTTAATGTATACTATAACAAATTTATATGACAACAATAAAACACATTTGAATTGAAATGGAAAAAAAAGAAAAAAAAAAAAAAAGAAATTAGCTCCTGCACCTTGTAATGGCACTGCAGCCACGGTTGTAAGGGTTGGCCTGTGCCCCAGGTCGGCAATTGTAGTAGGAGGCGCCACGGCGAGAGCAAGGGACTGTGTTCCTCTGCAGCGCACCGTAGCTTATATACTTGGTGGTGGCTAAGATGCGCCGGTTGATCTCCGAGTCCAACTCAAATTCTTCCCTTTCAAGGCACTCTGCGATGGAGCCTTTGCAGGTGGGTACCCATCCCATTCCGAGGTGGTGGTGGCCTCCGGCTACGGCGGTCGGCGACCAACTCATCGCCACCAAAATGGTGGCGGCGTAGATGAGCGTGAGAGCTAAGGAAGATGTTTTGGGCATTGTGTTGTTGAGATGTTTGCGTTTGTTTCTTTGTTTTGGTTGGTGAATTGGGGAACGGGGTGTTGCTTCTTTTCTTTCAGATGAAATGAATTTAGCTATGTCTACAGCTAGTGGCCAGTTTAAAACTAAAGAGCCTCATCTGTTAGAAAAAGGACACTCCAGTTCCGTTTATTTACGTTTATGCCATTTCCAGCAAGAAGCTTCTTAAAACGGTAGCAGTACTGCTGCTGTGTTTCAGAATCTGAAATGAGTTATTAAATGCTTTTTATAATAAGTCTTGCTAATTATTACCGATTAGTAATGATTTTAAAAAAAATAATAGATATTTTTTAACTAGTGAGATATGACTTATTATATTTTAAAAAAATTATTTTTTATTCTTTGATTAATGAAAAATTGTTTCATATAATTTAAGAAAATTAATTACCTTTATAGTTTATATAAAACATTGTCTAATAACTAATTTTAAATTTCCTTCTTAATTAATTAATTTTTTATTAACTTTTGATATTGAAAATAAAATATGTTTTATATATTAATATGTAAGTAAGTTACGAAAAAAATTTAATTTAGTCTTATTAACTTTTGAACTTTATAATAATTAACCAATCTTATGATTAATGGGTAAATTAATTTAAATTTTTATAAAAGGTAAATATATAATAAAAAATAAAAAATAATTTCTTGAACTCTTAAAGTGACAGATTAAAAAAAAATTAAATGATGTTATATAAAATGACATATAGGGACTAACATTTATTATTAAAATATAAAAATATATTATTACAAAATTTAAACACAATTCACTTTGAATGGCTTCAAGGAATTAGTTAATATTTTCTTAATTTTTTTATTGTGCAATGATGCACGATTTAAAAATATTTAATATTTTAAATTATTAAAAACATAAATATAAACGTACTTTATATTTTGAATATAGTAAACATTCTTTTCATAAATAACTCCTTTTATAATTAGTGATAATTAGAAAGCTAAAAATTAGATGATAAGTAATCCTCGGTAACAATTATACCTAATCATCACGAGCGGAAAAGATGATTACATATTAATGAAAAGGGAAATGTTTAGCCAAATTTGACAAGTTTATCTTTAATGAATGCTTTCCGTTTAATATTTGTGGAGCAAAGGGAGAACAGAGGCAGTGGTTGGGATAGGGAAAGAAGAGACGTGTGGAGCATCAATAAGAGTATTTTATTTGCTTTTTTTTTTTTTTTTTCTGTTGAAGGAGAGGACATGAGTAGGCATTGCCTGGTCCTTCTTTTGTTGCTTTTATAAAATGGAGAAAGGTTATTATATGTTTTGCCTAGTTGACTACTGTATGTCTGTGCTAAAAGCAAGAAATTGGCTACCTATTGTACTCTTATATATATGATCATGTGTTACATTCACGACTCCTGGTTTCAATTTTCCGAGTGTGAGAAATTATCTTCGTATATTATGTGTGTGTGACTTCCCAACACGTCTAAGAAGTGTATTTTAATGAATGTCAACATGGCAAGGAAGCGTGAAAAGCCAGGTCACCTTGAAATTCGACAATGGATAACAGGGTTTTGAAAGAGGTGTATCATGCCGTGACCTAATATTGTTTTATGATACCATATTCAACAAATTTATACAAATAAAAAAGATAAATATAGTGACTTATAAAAAATATATATTATTATAAATAATTTATTTAAAATTATATTATTTATATTATTTACTATTTAGTCATGGTGTATATTTAAAATTTAAAGTTTTTAATATTAGTTCAACTTGCACAACTCTTGTTTTGTTGGGTTTTTTCCTAGTCGCTGCTTTGCTGTGTAAGTTTGCCTCATTGCTGATTTTGGAATAGGATTAGACTTGATTGCAAAAGAAGAACTGTCCTTTTTAACACGATGAACCTTATAGCATTTGAAAAAATTAGTTCTGAATGTGGTATCAACAACAAATCTTGTCTGATCAGAGTATCATTTCTGACAAGAGTGGATTCAATAAGAGTTGTAGCAGAGTCGAGAACTAGCAACTAATGTTGAAAGATAGAATTGGTTACTTGACCACCTCTTTTTTTCTCGTCTTAACGTATCTTGAACTCTAAGGAAAACTCTCTTTCAAGCTCCGCTATGTAAGATCCCCTCGTTGCTCAGTGTGATGCTAACAAAAGCTTAGGATTTTTAACGAATATGGGAGAACGAATACAGAGCAGTGAGAAGTGACATGGTTGGTAGGAAATAGATTGACCTCATTAGTGGAGTAAAGTGATGTAAGCCTAAAGATAAAGCATAATTAGGATCAACTTCGGTGGCAAAAAAAAACGTGAGTCAAAGGGTTGAAACACAAAACAAAGCAAGAAGATGAAGTAACTATTAAAACATAAACTTAAATTTTATCTTTTAATTAACAATAATTATGAGGGAAGGACTAATTGATAAATAAAATAAAATAAAATAAATATAATAATTTATTATTTGAATATGTGTTTAAATATTATTAATTAAAAAATTTTGGGTACGTGCCCTGAAAATTTTTAAGGGTACCACAAAATTTTTCTTAAAAATATAAAAGAAAAACAGAGCAAGATAGAGATATAACTAACAACTATTGAAAATATATAAGAGTTAGTTTGAGAAGTGGGTGGTATAACCAAAAGTCTAAGTCAAAAATCAATTAGATATATATTAAGTGGAAGAATTTCATAATTTTTTTAAAACTTTTTTAATAACTAAAGTGGAGAATGACTTTTTCTTAATTCGTGACCATTGATACGATGAACTGATAGAAGAATGACTAGAATTTAATCTTAAGAAAATAGAGAATATATTGAGTAACTTGTATTAGACATCAATACTAAAAGGTGAAAATTTAAATACACACCTTTGAATTTGTTTGGTTTTAAATAATTAGCGTTGAAAGAATTTTATTTTATTTTATTTTTTTGTGTGTGAAATTGATCAAATTATGCAAAAGAAGAGAAAGAAGAATCTGAACATGATGACAAAGAAAAAAGTAAATTTCTGTCACACTCCAAAACTTGTTTACCCTCTCTATTTTTCTATTAATGTCTAAAAACTTAACTGAACCCATTTACTTTTCCTACCAAAAAGTTCAATATTTACTTTGCAAACTCTATTTTTTATTTAAGCCAAGTATTTGCATGATAATCTTTATTTTTAGGTAAAGTTCAATATTTCCAAAAAAATTTGTTATTATTTGTTTGACACAAGCCACTCTCTAAGTTCTAATGTTTATTTCACATTGTGTTTTTTTAATTTCTTGTTCAAAAAGCATTGTTCATTTGTCATCCTTTTATGTTGTCTTTCTATGAACTGAGTGTTCACTATACTTGTGTTTATGGTAAAAATTGAATAAATAAATTCAAAAGTAATTTGAGGTTGAATTTTAGACTCTCTTGAGTTTTTTTAAATATGTTTTTAATGCAACAATTCAGATTCATGTCGTAAAGCATAAACTTGAGCAGGAATAGTAGAATGATGAAATAGAAACATTATCAAACTAAACATAATTACAAAAATATGCTAAACAAAGACGTAATTGCAGAAACAGAAAACATAAATTGAACACCAAAACTAGAAACAAATTGCAGAAAAAATAAGCGTACGACTTCAGCAATAAACAATAGGAATTGTGAATCCTTTGGTTGCTTATGTCTGTCCAGGTACAAAGCTTTCAACGTGTAGAGAATTTTGGGTGCTAGTGTTTAGGTGCAAAAATTTGTTCGCTAGAAATGTGAAGTTTCATAATATTTATAGATGGATGAACAATAGTCACTCCCTTTTTTTCACGGGCACTTCCCGATAATCGCCTTCTGTGCATGCTTCTTCTCAACTGCTGTCACCCACAACCGTTCATGATCGTGCCTTCTTCATGACTGTATGTTGCCCACGATCGTTTTTTCGTGCCCACGATCTTTGACCTTCAACTAGTATTAACTGTTGGTAACCGTTTCTTTGATAGTGGCTTCAGACCCTATGGTTTTTCGTTATGTTTTCTCCCCTCTTAGACTTCATCTTGTATTTTGACCTTAGAATAAATTTCTTGTTATGTTTTGACAATTTCGAGGAAACCTATCAAAAGCTCTCATGGGCTTAAAATAATTTTCTTGTCAGTTCTTATTTTTTGACTAGTTTTGAGGAAAATCTGTCTCATTCAGTCTCGTAAACTTAGAATAATTTCTCTAACAGTTTTTACTTTTCAACCAGTTTTTAGGAAAAACCAATAGTTTCCCTATCAGTTCCACCTTATCGATTTATTTTTTGACAAGTTTGAAGGCAGACTCAAAATCCTCAAAACTCCTCAAAAAACAATCCTTTTTTTAACAAAAACTAAGGCTCTTCTCAAGACATTCAAAACTCCTCAGAATTAAGTCTACTTTTTGACAAAGAATGAGGCTATTCTTTAATGCTCCAAAACTTCTCAAAAAGTAGTTTTTTCCTAAAGATGGGGCTTTAAGGATCCCTCCAAGACTCCTAGAGATGTAGCCTTCTTCTCGACCAGGAATGAGGCTTTTCTGCTAGTCTTCACAGAACATGTCAAAAAGTAGTTCTTTTGACAAAATTTTAGGACTTGAGTATTTTCACAGGTCCATGGCTCATCAAAGTGTGAGAACTTAGGGTTCTTTTTTATTTTAGTTGAAGGCCTTTGTAACTTAGAAAATTTCTTTTCCCAAACAACTTGTCTTTGCATTTTTATGTACTTTGTTATTTTCAAACACAAATTAATTCACATCTTTACTCAATGTTTATGACTCTAATATAAAAACTTGTTCATACATATTATTTTATAAGAACTAAGTAAAGAAGGGCAACAAAAAATACTCAATTATTTATTTATTTATATTTTGTTTGTCTAATTTTTTTTTTATATCTATACTTTCATTTTGTCAAAGAAAAGTCTGAATTTAATTTTACAAAAGAAAGAATGGAAACAAATTATTTGTTTTTAATAAAAAGTTAGTCTTTGCAAATTTAAAATTAAACAAAATTGACTTCCTATGGAGAAAGTAAACATTACTTAATTGAAAGACAACACTAAAAACCACTCCTTTATACATGAAAGAGCAAGC